TCCCAGTAAATTTGATCTACGGCACCTGTGGCTTTAGCAAAGAATTTCATCTGACCTGGCTCAGCCATGACTGTTTTAGGCGGAGACTCCTGCCCGACAATACTTTTATCCAACACCCGCAGCTCCTTGTTCTCAGAAATTATTGTATGCAAGCTTACATGTAGTTTTAATTATAAACCAGATTGGACATTCACATTCACATTGCTTTGTACACTTACGTACAATTTCCGGGTCGTCAACAGCATGGAAAATGAAGGGTAGTCATTGCAGATGAAGCAGTGGTGTAAACAGGCATTCGCGAATACGAAATGCGAGAATTTGAAGTCACCTCTATCGGACCTGAAGAAGGCTTACTCAGGGTCGAGCATTCTGATATTCGCGGCAGTGATTGGTTCCACTACACCCACATTTACGCGAAAACTGTTATTCCAGGTCATGAGCCTGTGGGCATTATTGAAGAAATTGGCGACATTGCTGCGCAGCGCGGGGGCGTACAGGTTGGTGACCGTGTGGCAGTAGCAACAATGCTGCCTTGCGGTTTTTGTCGGCAATGTGTCAAAGGTAAGTACAACCTTTGCAGAGCCTCGGGTGCAATGATCCACGCCTATGGTTATCGCGATGTCTCCGAATCGCCTTCCCTCTGGGGCGGTCATGCCGAATTGCTCTACCTCGATCCGCACGCACTGGTACACAAGATGGATCGGGATTTACCTGCCGAACTTGCGGTCATGTTCAACCCTCTCGGCGCCGGTGTTCGCTGGGCTCATAAGTTACCCGGCACGGGTATTGGCGATTGTGTCGTTGTGCTTGGCTGTGGACAGCGAGGGTTGGCATCGGTAGTTGCGGCTCGTGAAGCAGGCGCATCCAGAATTATCGTCACCGGGCTCACTGCCGATGTACCAAAACTTGAGCTTGCACGCGAATTTGGCGCCGACCTGGCGATCGACGTAGAGAAAGAAGACGCCATCGGTACTGTGCGAGAGTTTACAAATGCGGAGATGGCTCAGGTTGTCGTCGAGGTAACCAGCGGCTCCACACAACCGGTTATCGACTCACTCGATTTAGCCGCACCCGGCGGCACAGTCGTTCTGGCCGGGGCAAAGTACGGAAAAGTGCCTGAATTTGACAGCAATCGAGTGCTGATGCGCGAACTCACTATCCTTGGCGCGCTGGCGGTAGACTACGATTCTTACGAGGCAGCAATACGCATTATCGAGTCGCATCGTTACCCGCTGGAGTTAATGCACACCCATACGCTTGCCTTGGACGAAGCAGATAAAGCCCTGAAAATATTAGGTAACGAATATGAGGGTGAATATGGTATTCATCTATCCTTAGCACCGAACAATTAGTCCACGTTACAAAGTAACGCAAAAAGCTTTGACCTCTCGCTCGATTTACATTACTCCCAGCGTGACAATGCTGACGCGGGTGCGGCACAAGGGAAAACACAAATGACAAGCAGCACAACGGGATCTTCCGATAATTTGGTGCGATAGTGGTTCGCGTCTGTCAATAAAAAAGGCGGCCCTTAGGCCGCCCACGAGTCTTGTTAGGCTAAAATGCCATCTTCACTCGACCATAGATGACCAGGCCACGAGGATCGTGAATCTTGGAATCATAACCCGGACCATCATCCAGAGAAGGTGGGTCTTCGTCGAACAGATTTATCGCACCGATAGTCACGGTTGGGCCATTGCTATCAAACAGTTCCTGAAACTGGTATGAGTACTGTACGTCAACAGTCATATGATCGTCGATTGCCGGGTCTGGTTGTCGACCGTTGAAACCAGCGATTAGTGCAGACGGTGCCCTCGTCATCTCATAGTTATCCGTATACCGCAAGGTGAAGCTGGCGGAGTGACTGCCGAACATCCAGTCAAGTCCCGCATTCGCCCGCCACTCTGGCGCCGGCGCACCAATGGTCTGGAAGTTGCGCTGGCCTTTGCCGTCCACTTCCGGTGAGTTAGGCGCTTCGCGGAATTTGTACTCGTCGATGATGGACGTGTTGAAAAACAGATCAAAAATACCGTAGTCATCAGTTTCCAGCATGTATCCCAGCGAAATATCGATACCGCTGGTATCGACAGAGGCCGCATTGATGAACTCTGAGCGGATCACCGCAATGTTGCCTAGCCCATCCAGGGTGATTTTGGCTTGTGCAAGGGGGTCACCGGCAACAAAAGCTTCGATCACAGAAACGTTAGATTCTTTTTTGATGGCATCTTCATAAGCAAAGTCCCAGTAGTCCACCTCAATAGAAAAGCCATCGAAAGCGCCACTGGTCGGCTCCCAGCTGAAGCCGATGTTGAATACGTCAGCGGTTTCCGGTGCCAGGTCAGGATTACCCACAGCGATACCGGGGACAAATACCCGAGCGGAAGTGGGATCAAAGGGATTCGCCTGGACGTTGTTCAGCGAAGTGTTGGAACCACCTAACTGAGCAAGACCTGGTGCTTTAAAAGAAGTCTGGAAAGAGCCGCGGATGGCAACATCCTGTGTAGGCATCCACAACACAGCAAACTTTGGATCGGTGGTATCACCGGTGCTGCTGCCATAGTCTTCATAGCGAATCGCCAGTGAAAGCTCCATGGCGCCGATGGCGGAATCCATATCTGAAACCGGTATCAGAGTTTCAAGAAACACCGCGTATACGTCGCGGTCAACTTCAAATGGCTCCTGGCCCACCACAAAAGAAAAGTTGAAGTTGCTGCCGGTACCCGACGGGATGGATTCAAACTTCTGATCGCGATACTGAGCGCCGACCGCCAGGCCAACGTTGCCCGCGGGCAGTTCAAACAGGTCGCCGGACACAACACCATCAACTACATAAAGCTCCTGTTCAACCTGAGTCATGATCGGGTCTATCATCCAACTGTACAGCTCGTCTGCATTATACAGACCGTTCGGGCCCAAATCGCTGGGATCGGTCAAATAGGCACTGCCAAAGGGATTCAGGTAGTAACAGCCACCGTCCGCATCACCACGTGCGGTGGTAGCCGGGTTACAGTCTCGACCACCAAATCCGTCTAAAGCAGTCAGCATATTAGAGGTGTTGGTGTCATAAGCGGTAAAACCGGAGAACTCATGTTCACTCCATGTACCTGCCAGGTCGAAGGTCCAGTTTTCGTCAAAGTTGCCTTTGATGCCGGTGACAAAGTGGGACTTGTCACGCTCGATGCGACCGGCGTTTTTAACGCGCCCCTGGTTCATATAGGTCTCTTCGGGGATACCGGTGAAAGGTCGAATATTGGTGATCATCGGGCCAACTAGTGGGTTTGCCTCGGCAGCTGCCACCGCATTGGCAAAGCCAGCCGCCTGGGCCGCAGCGTCGTCAATCAATTCGTTACCACCCAAACCGCGCTGGAAGGCATCAAACCGCAGGCCTGGATTATTGACCGGCACCGTAGGTGCGCTGACAAAACCATAACTGGGTGAATTACCGCGCTTTACATCGTTGGTGGCCATATGGAATTCCCCGTAAATCTCGATTTCATGCTCGATATTCAGCAGGTAATTAAACTGGCCATAAAACTGCATACGTTGCTCTGCATCAATCAGCGACTGCGTCGGTAGAAAATCTACCAGGCAGTTTTCTGAAGCAGGCAAATAGAAGGTGGTGTTGCGACGGCCATTGGCACCGGGGCTACCTTGGGCATGAGGCACATTGGCGCAGTCAAAGTCAGCACCACCAAGGAACTGACCAGTTGCCGGGTTGAACGGTACTTCGGTGGTTGCTTCAAAAGCCGTTAAGCGCGCAGCATAGTCTGCATCACTTTCACCTGCACTCTGGGTTGTGAAGATTTTGCCTGGTGCACCAAAGCTGGATAAACCGCCACCATAGGTGAAGTCCCGGGCAAACATTGGCAGCTCTGTGCGATCCAGGAAGCTGGCCGCAATCATGATGTTACCGCGGTCGCCGCTGAAACCGACAATACCCTGAATGTTCAAATCACGGGCGGCGTCCCAGTCGGTGCTGTCGTTAATGGACTGATAGTCTGCCTGAATTTCAAATCCTTCAAAATCGCTGCGGGTGATAAAGTTCACCACACCGGAAATGGCGTCGGAGCCATATAATGCAGCAGCGCCGTCTTTGAGGATTTCCATACGCTCAATGGCTATCGTCGGCATCATGGAGGCCGTATCGACAAAAGCCACACCGTCATTGGTCAGGTTGGGCGCTTCCGCCTGGCGACGACCATTCATCAGAATGAGGGTAGAGTTTAAGCCCAGACCTCGCAGATTGATGTTCTCGGTTCCTGTTGTCGAACCGGCGCGCAAAGTATCTGGAAAATTTTCCGATCCCAAGTTATAGGTCAGATTCTGGGCCATGTCTTTGACCGTGATGGCGCCGTTACGTGCAAAGTCTTCCTGACCGATGAGATCCAAAGGCGATGACGAGTCGAAGCTCGATCGCTGGATATATGAGCCGGTAACAACAATTTCCTCTATAGGGGCATCGTCTACTGCGGCCATAAGAGGCCCCCCATAGAACAGGATTCCTACGCCGCTGGCGGCTGCAACTGCGATACGCAATAAGTGCTTCATGAATTGATTCTCTCCGATTGATGATTTGTAGCGATTACTTCAATGAACCGAATAAGTTCCAGAAAAAAAAGCTCCAAAAGTATGCCCGCACAACAGGTCGCCTAGCGCAAGAAACACTGCAACCTCTTCACTGGGCCGTCCCCTTGTCACGGCTATGTGGTCAACAAATCTATCTGCACAATACCAACCTGTTCGGGCAAAACCGAGCGTCATACACCTGGTCCTGCACTTATTGTTAGCAACGACTGTGTTGACAACAATCGTGTTGACAACGATATCGATTAGCGGTCACATATCGTGACCTTTAAGATCATATAGCAACAAATCGTCAAGTTAAACTTATACTTTGGATGCCATGATCGCCCACGGATTGGCTAGGACTCTGCGCGGTATATAGTGCAGTATGTCCCTGGTAAATGGAGGTGAAGATGAAGACAATTAGTTTTAGCGCCATGAAGGTGGTGACACCTGCACTTTTCGAAAGGTACATTAGTTTCAAGGCGCGCACGCGCCGTACTGTTATCGCCAGTTTTTTTTTAGCCTCTACCGGTGCAACTGCGAATACAGATTCCAGCGCCGTCGATTGCCTGGCCATTAATGAGCATCAGGCACGGCTTGCCTGTTACGATCGGTTGCACGGTCGCAGCATTGAGCCTGAGCTGCAACAAGCGGCGCAGGAGCGCGGCAAATCTGCAACAGAAACGCCGATAACCGGAGAATCGGTTGAAGATAATCCGCCGACATCCGCTTCAGCACACCAACTAGGCGCGGAACAATTGAGAAAACCCCTGCCCACATCCCCAAGCCGCCCGGTGGAACTGGTGACCAACCTCCAGGCGATGGGCAAAAGTATAACAGGGCGACACTGGTTTCGTCTGGCCAACGGGCAGCTCTGGGAGCAGGTTTCAGCCGGACGCACGACCCTGCGGGAAGGTGATCGTATTCGAATATCAAAGGGCTTGCTGGCTACATATCATTTGCGTCGGGTGGATGGCGGAAGCAGAAGCACATCCGTTAGGCGCCGGGAATAACAAGTTCTTATAAGACCAACGATTACTTTTAATTGCAGTAATAGCGCCTGGCATGGAAGCCAGCGCGGGCTGTCGAAAGTTTTTAGTCAATAACTTGTGAATTGCCGAACTCACAGCATAATGGGGGGGAGGGGGTATTTTCTTGCCTTCGCGGTGACGAAGTACGAGTTAAGAGTGTTCATCCATCGGCTTGCACTCCTTCCACGGCATCTGCTCCCCAATAATAGTTTGAAGTATAGTTGTACGTGGCGGGAACACGGTTTACCTTTGAGCGATGCCAATGGCGGAAACTTGGCGACGCACGTCGCCAAACTTTCACAGTTAGGGGCACACATGGGGAAACTACTCTGGAGGGGAAGAAACCACTATTTACTCACATACTCATGGCTCATCATGGCCACTCACTGCTGCGCTGATCACAGCGTTTACTATTCTGCTGGCGCCCACGGCGAAAGCGGCTGCAGGGGATTCACAGATCATCGAGGAAATCGTTGTAACCGGCTCCCTGATCAAACGGGACAGCTTCGACTCCGCGTCTCCGTTGACCGTCGTCGATTCGGAGGAAATCTCTGACAATGCAACTCCTAACCTCGGCGAAGTACTTGTCAATCAAACATTCAACTATGGATCCGACTTTCAGACGAACACATACGCCGCACGGTCTCAGGTCGGCACGACAACCGCGGCAAATCTGCGAGGACTCGGCGAGCGGGCCACGCTCAACCTGCTGGACGGGAAAAGAGGCGTCGGCACAAACCTCAACAGCACGCTGCCACAGATCGCAATTGACCGGATCGACATTCTCAAGGACGGAGCTTCGGCCACCTAAGGGTCCGACGCGGTCGCCGGTGTGGTGAACGTCATTCCCCGCAAAAACTTCAGCGGTGCCGAGGTATCCATCTTCCAGCAGCAGGATTCCGACAACGACATTGACGAGGATATGTTCGAGTTCATTTTTGGCAGCGAGATGGACAAAGGCCATTTCATGTTTGCCGGGTCATACAGCGAGCGAAGTACATTGGAGCAGACTGAGCGTCCCGAGTATCTCCGGAGAGGCTTTGAGATGTCCGCCACGGGTAACCCCGGAAGGTGGCGGGTACCTACGCGTGATGCGACCGGTGCCATCGTTGGCGCCGCCAACCTTCGCGACCCAGGTTGCGGAGTAGCAACGGACATCGGTCCCGGCGGCACGGACGTAGGCACAAAAGGCAACTACCTGACCGGGGATCCACGATCTGCGACTGAATATGCACTGGGTCTACCAGCCGGCATCACCGGCTCGACCGACTGCAGTTTCCACTTCGGCGAGACCTGGAACTATATCAACCCGCAAGAAAAATTAAGCACCTATCTCAACTTCCAGTACGATTTCAGTGACCATGTGAGCAACGAGTTCGAGCTGGTCTTCGCCCGCCTGACCTCGGACAGCCGAGGTTCACCACAGAACCCAGGCGGTCGTACTGAGGAGTTTCCCATCGTACTGGGTGATCACCCCGGCAACCCTTTCCGGGCTCTGACGTCGGACGGCACACCCCTCTATGCTCAGGATGCAGATGCAGACGGTGTGCCCGATCGCGGCACCGTGGATGCGAACGGTGATGGGGTAATGGACGTCATCGTCGCCGGAATCGATCCAACATCCGGCATTCCCTTTAACGAAGATGTGGACGTCATTGCATTGCGGATCTTTAGCAAGATCGGACTAGTACCGGGTGCCAACCAACCCTCCTCACTCAACGACGACGGCTCGAATACGGGTAATGCATCGTTCGATGCCTGGAGCTTTCGAGCTGCCGATACCCTGACAGTGGACATTCCGAATACCTCCTGGCAGGTGGCGACAACCGCCATCGCCTCCCGGGGTCATGTCGTTCTGGAAGAGAAAAATACCAGCCAGAACGCACTCGAAGCAGGTTTGCGGGGAGTACTGGTCGACGTTCCAGAATCCGATCCCGGATTCACGGGCCCACAATACTGGAACCCGTTCTCGACTCAAGCGCTCGACTGCGTAAACCGGGTTTGCGAGCACACCGGTATACCCGGGTTCGCCAACACCGTCAGTGTGCTGGACGCGGTGAATATTCAGTCTCACGAGATTACAGATAACGAGTTCTGGTCGTTGGAGACGATCGCCACTGGTGAGCTCTTCGAGTTACCCGCAGGCAATGTTCTTGCAGCGTTCGGCGCGGCGTTTCGGGAAGAAAATCAGGAAGTGGATGCCAGTGCGGCACGGAATCAATGCGATTGGCATGAAGGTGGCTGCGCCTTCGACTGGAAGGCCAACCAGAACGTCACGTCGGCGTTCTTCGAGCTTTCCATCCCTGTGATCGAGAGGCTGGAAGTGACGGTCGCCGGCCGCTACTCAGACTATAGTGGTACTGTCGGCGATTCGTTCGATCCGAAGATCGCAGGTCTCTGGCAACCTACCGACTGGTTGTCCATGCGAGCTTCCTGGGGCACAGCCTTCATTGCACCGACGATCGAGCAGCAGTTTTCCACCGAGGTGTGCGGGCTGGAGACTATGTCGGATCCGCTGACCGGCGACATCTCGGCATCGTTCCGCGTGGCTTGCGTGACCGGTAATCCGAATCTGGCACCGGAAGAAGCGGATACATTCAACATCGGCTTCTCTTTGAACCTGCTCGATGGTGACCTCACGCTGGGTCTGGACTACGCCAACTACCAGTTCGAGGACAGGATTTCCGTGGAGACCGGCAACAATGTGTTGCGCGGAAACTTTGCGTCATTCCTGGCCGCCGGTAACGATCCGGCCAGCCAGACAGACATCACAAACTGGATTGCGAACAACGAATCCGGTATTTTTCGGGATACCACGGGCGTAGTAACCCGCGTGATCGTGGACCGGTTGAACGCCCAGGAGATGGAGCACACCGCGTGGGACATCTACGCGTCATACAACTTACCCTTGGATAGAATTGGCAACTTCACGTTCGGACTGGCCGCCACCTGGGCTGAGGAGTACACCTTCGACCTGGGCACGGGTGATCCCCTGGACAGCGGCGATGGTGTCGGCAAACAGAACGAACAGGTTGCCGCAATTCCACCGCTGCCCGAATGGCGTGTGAACGGAACCGTCAACTGGTTCCTGGGCAACCATTCTGCCCGTGTTCGTGTCCGCTGGATCGACGAGTTCGAGCTTGAGTTCAACTCCGTGGGTCTGCAGACGCTTCATGGACTGCGGGGTGGTGCCGAAAACGTAGACGACATTACTTATGTCGATCTCAACTACAAGTATACGTTCGAGGAACTGTTCGGCGTCGGTTCGACTACGCTCGAAGTCGGGGCTAACAACGTGTTCGATGAACTCCCCGAGCCATTCTTCAACCTTGGCGGTATCGAGACATTCGTCCACGATGTCAGAGGACGTATGTGGTATCTTCGTCTTCATCAGACGCTCTAACGGCGCCATTCAGTTTGAGGGGCGGGATTGCACCGCCCCTCCTCCTATCCGGCCTCATGAGTAAGCTTCACCAAATCACCGTCGTCGCAGTTCTCATTGCGTCCAGCGCCGCCGGTTTTGCCGCACCCGAGCTTTCCGAATGTGTAAAGATCGAAGCCCCATCCCAGAGGCTTCTCTGCTATGACCAGTACGCTGGTCGATCGAGCAAAGCAGTCGCGTTCCCGGCGCAAACCCCAACGGGCAAACCTGAGGCTGTACTCCCGCCCTCCGAATCTCAACCTGCACGTGCAGATCGCACTGTCCGTTCGGACGACGATTTCGAGACAGATACGGTCACCGATGCGGCCAGTTTCGGGCTTCGAAAGGAGCGCGAGTGGGTTTCAAAATCAGACTACACAACCGCAAAGATTGTCAGCACTCAATCTTCGCCTAGCGGTGCGCAGATCATGTCTTTGTCCAACGGGCAAATCTGGATCGAGAATGAAAAAGGTCGTCGGCCTATCGAGCTACATCAGACTGTCACGATCCGACGGCAGCGCTTCCACTACAAGATGGTACTGGAATCCCAGCCGGACGTAGCCGTTCGGCGCCTCCAGTAATCAACCCTCAACACTATCTGCTGTTCATTTGAGTAGCGCCCTGGTGGTGGATCCAGGCTCGGAGTGTTTAGCGGAAGGAGGTTTATCAGTTTGTATGATCCGTCAGGCCGTACCACTGCGCCACATTGTCGTGACATACCCAGTCGCGTTCCTGATCGGTCATATGGGCTGTCTGGGTTGCCAGAATTTCCTGTGAGCGCGGCCAGGTCGAATCACTGTGAGGAAAATCGCTCGCCCACATTAGCCGTCGCACGTTAAGCATGTCCTTACACTGAAAGGCCACATAATCATCCTGGAAGGTTACTGCAATATTTTCACGGAAATAGTCACTCGGCTTTTTTTCCAATGGCGGTGCTTTCATCCAGTAGCGATGGTACTCATAAGCATGATCCATACGATACATATAGTGGGGCACCCAGCCGGCATCCGCTTCCGCGCAAACGAGTTTCAATTCTGGATGGCGATCAAATACTCCGGCGTAGATGAACATGCCCATGACATCCTGACAGCTACGAATAATGGACAAAAAAGAATTGATCTTGGGACCTCTCGTCGCATCGAGACCGCCGGATCTCGAGGTAAGAATATGAAACGAAAGAGGCATATTCAGGTCGATAGAAGCCTCCCACAGAGGATCAAATCGCCGATCGTCGTAGTCGAATTGCGTACCGGGCTCACCAGGCATCATAACCCCGATAAAACCCCTGTCTTTCATCTGGTGTAATTCTTTAACAGCAGCTTCGACACTGGTCACGGCGGTTTGTCCTAACCCATAAACCCGGCCATCAGCACCCTCACAGTAGCCTTCCAACCAGCGATTGTAAGCTTCCATGCAGGCTTGCTTGTAAGGCAGGTCCGAGTGATTACATAACACCATACCTACTGTCGGGTAGATAATCTCAGCTGCAATACCATCGCGTTCCTGATCAGCTTTGCGCGCCTTCGGATCCCAGCCACTGCGATGCAGATCTTTAAAGTGCACACCCTGGGCTTTGATATCTTTGGGGTCAAGACCTGCTGCAGCAACCAGCCCCAACGGTACCGGTGATGACATACCTTCAATTACAAAAGCGTCGCCTAGCCCGTCGATCTCTGTAATGAAAGGTGCGGAGTCCTTGTACTTTTCTTGAATATTATCTCGATAACATTCAGGTGGTTCCGTGATATGAGAATCAGCAGATATAACAGGTTTGCCCACTTCGGTCCGTCGCTATTTTATACGTATACGAACAATATAACCTGCCGCCGCTTAAAGTCCACCTCGCCAATCTTCGTTAAACAGCGAGTTCAACCTGCATCGACGACGATTCAAAAAGCGGATAACCCCCCATCTGCGGCAATGACGCAGCCGTTAACCATGCGGGATTCATCCGCGGCAAGAAAAAGTGCGACTTGTGCAATATCATCAGGTTGGCCAACCCCGAACGGATAGCGAACGGCCGTTCGAGCGGCAATTGAATCCTTCAAATCATCATGCTGATCAGACAAATCTCCAAAGCGTTTTTTCACTCTGTCTGTCAGCACAATCCCGGGGCAAATTGCGTTTACTCGAACCAGGTCTTTGGAATATGTGGCAGCGAGCGATCTCGTCAGAGATATGATCGCACCTTTCGCAGCGGAATAAATATGCATGGAGGTACCTTGCAAAGCTGCGGTTGAAGACATATTGATGACGCTACCACCACCACTTTTAATAATTTCTGGAATAACTTCGCGGCAGCAATATAGCGTGCCTTTCAGATCTAACGAAATCGTATGGTCGATTACCCACGGCTCTATTTCGGTAATTGCCCCATCTTTATCAACCGAACCACCTGCACAGTTGTACAGCACATCAAGCTTGTCGCCCGATACCCGTGCCCGCACCAGTGATGAAAGCCACGCGATTGTTTAGTCGATTCATGTCTTATTCTCCTGCGATGTTGCGCTGATCCGGTCAAAAGCAATCAGCGAATTAGGCAAACTAAGTAGAACCGCAACCCTCAATCAATGTAAGCTTGCTTACTTAATATCTTTGTGTAATAAATCGAACCCTGAAAAATGGCCAGGATCCAATATGCACTATGACATTAAAATCACCGGTGGCACTATCCTTGACGGTAGCGGTGATGCTGGCTACATCGGTGAAGTGGGTATCAAAGATGGGAAAGTAGTTGCGCTCGGTGACGCGCCCGGTAAAGCCTCTAAAAACATAGACGCAACCGGCAAGTACGTCACCCCGGGGTTCGTCGATATACACACGCACTACGATGCACAAATCATGTGGGATAAAATGCTGAGTATCTCACCCTGGCATGGTGTGACGACAGTGGTTATGGGCAATTGTGGTTTCGGAATAGCGCCGACGAGGCCCGAGCACCGCTTGTTGATCGCCGAAACATTGGAAAACGTAGAAGGCATGAGTGTAGAGGCACTCAAAGCCGGCCTCGGCGAAGACTGGGGTTTCGAGAGCTTTCCGGAATATCTTGATGCTATCGAACAGGGCGGCACTGCCATTAACGTCGGTGTTCTGCTTGGGCACACAGCTTTGCGCATGTATGTCATGGGTGAAGACTCGACCGAACGAGAAGCTACAAGTTCGGAAATTGGAGAAATGCAGCAACTGGTATCTGAAGCTATCGAGGCCGGTGCGATCGGGTTTGCAACCTCCAAAGCACGAACTCACGTGGGCTATCGCGGGAAACCCGTACCCAGCCGACTGGCAGGTGTGGGAGAACTGAAAGCGCTGACCGGCGTATTGGGTGAGGCTCAGAAAGGCATGATTCAAGCGACGATCGGCAAAGGCATGTCGTTCCAGGAATTTGCTGATATTACAGAAAATACAGGACGACGTATCAGCTGGACGGCGCTGCTTACCGGCTTTCAGGGGACTGCATCTTACAAAGACCAGCTACGTAAATCAGAGGAGCTCATTGCAACGGGACATGACGTTGTGCCACAAGTCACTTGCCGACCTTTGAACTTTGAGTTCAACTTCAGGGCGCCATTTGTTTTCGAAAGCGCAAGAATTTTCCAGGAAGTGTCCGAGGCTGACTATGAAGGCCGTAAAGCCATCTACGCAAGCACCACCTTCCGCGACAAATTCAGACAGCTACTCGCCAAGCCTGGGAACAGCCTGGGCGCAGGATTTGCACAAGCGATGGTCTCTAATTGCCAAAGTGATAGCAGCGTCAATGAGCGAATGCTGTGCGACATCGCCGAGGAACAATCTAAAGACATTGTTGATACTGCACTGGATTTATCGCTGGCAAATCAACTGCAAGTGCGCTTCCGCGTTGCAGTTGCCAATAGCAATGAAGACGAAGTTCAAGAACTCCTCGACCACCCAAGCACGGTCCTCGGATTATCCGATGCTGGCGCACACGCAAGCCAGCTATGCGATGCCTGCTTCTCAACTCACTTGTTAGGGCACTGGGTAAGGGATAAAGGCACTATTCCAATCGAACGAGCGATACGCATGTTGACTTCACGGCCCGCTGAAGTCTTCGGCATAACGGATAGAGGTACTTTAGAGACAGGCAAACCAGCTGATGTCGTCGTGTTTGACCTGGCAAACGTAGGTGCCAGCCCCCTTGAACGCGTCTACGACCTGCCCGCAGGCCAGGACCGACTGATCTCAAAAGCGAAGGGCATAAGCTCAGTGATCGTCAATGGTGTGCTGCTGCGTGAAGACAACATTGACCAGATCGACCTTGCCAAAGACCAATTGCCTGGTCGGCTACTGCGAAATGGCGCTGCCACATAGCGCTGACAACATGTTTATCTATCCAAAGTTTTTTCAGGACAAAAAGTTATGAAAGCAGCCGTGTTCCATGGCCCGAATGTACCTATGACTATAGAGAATGTAGATCTTGATACACCCAGGCCAAGAGAGATTCGGGTCCGCACTGAATTTGCAGGCATTTGCCATAGCGACCTGCACTTCGTCGAGGGCATATTTCCGTTTCGAGCACCAGCCATACTTGGACACGAGTCAGCTGGTATCGTTGAAGAAATCGGATCAGAGGTTGAATACGTCAAGCCTGGCGATCATGTCATTACCTGTCTGTCGGTATTCTGTGGTCACTGCAACCACTGTTTATCCGGCTTTCCAAATCGCTGCGGCGGGCGCGCCACAGCACGCAAGAAAGGCGACCAGCCACGCCTTTCTATGAACGGTGAACCTGTTGCACAGTTTGCACACTTATCATCTTATGCCGAGGCAATGTTAGTTCACGAAAACGCAGTTGTGAAAATTCGCGAAGATATGCCGCTGGATCGTGCAGCATTGATCGGTTGTGGCGTTACCACGGGCACCGGCGCGGCACTGCGTACGGCTAATGTAGAGGCAGGCTCTACCGTTGCAGTAATTGGATGCGGTGGTGTAGGTCTCAGCGCGATTAATGGCGCTGCGATTGCCGGCGCCGGCCGCATAATCGCTATAGATCAAATTGACTCGAAACTTGAGTTGGCCCGGGAGTTTGGCGCGACCGATATAGTGAATGCCAGTGAAGGGGACTCCGTAGAACAAGTTAAAGAAATGACCCAGGGAGGCGTCGACTACTCTTTTGAAGCGATCGGGCTTAAACAAACCTGCGAACAAGCGTGGCAGATGTTGGCGACCGGTGGCACTGCGACAGTAATCGGCATGGTTCCCAATGGTCAATCCATCGAAGTACCAGGCATGGATTTGTTGCAAGAGAAAAAACTTCAGGGTTCAATGATGGGCTCCAATCGCTTTCGTATTGACATGCCACGTTACGTGGATTTTTACATGTCAGGAAAACTCAAGCTTGACCCCCTCATCTCTCGCCGCATTCCTTTGTCAGAGATCAATGAAGGTATGCAGGCACTGAAGACGGGTGAGGTAGCCCGTCAGATAGTCACATTCTGACTTTTCCCACTCAGCTCTAAAGCTGCGTCTTGGGACAGCTGGCACCGACAACCGCTGCAGTAGTTGGGAGGGTAAAGTCCGGAAAGCAGACCAGATTCGAACCCTTCTGCTGCCACATAAAAAACAGCCGCCGATCTTACTGAGGTAGGCAGGTTGTGAGTTTGAACACAAGATAGCTATCGAATTAAGAAAAATTGGAAAGAGGACGTGTTACATGAATGACAAAGATAAATTGAAGTTAGCAAGGGCAATTACCGATCAACTGCCCGCACCAGACGAAATACGCGACGATTGGGGCAAGCTCATCATCGACACGGTCTTACCAGAAGGCGTTTGGTCTCGCCCCGGCTTGCCAGAGCGAGACCGAAGTTTAATCACCGTAGCCGCCTTGTGTGCGTTACATCGTCCCAACGAACTCCGCCTGCACATCGGTCGCGCACTGGACAATGGACTTACTCGACAGGAAGTCAGCGAAGTCATCATGCACATGGCTATCTACGGTGGATTCCCGGTAGCGGTAGAGGGTATGGCGGTTGCCAAAGAGGTTTTCGATAAGCGCGATTAACCACCAGCGGCATATGTAAAAAACCCGTGTGATGCATCGGCCCTGTTCAGTACACGCGGTCGAGGTCGAGTAACACCGTCCCTGTTCGCGTATCGTAGAATATTGTTGGCTTCGGTGCGCCAGGTTGAACACCCTGGAAGTCCAGCGCTATAAACTGACAAACCTGAGCAAAGTTAGTAAACGGCAGCGCGATGGTGGCATCGCTGATCACCGCATCCTGCCCGGCCACAAATTCAATTCCCGTACCCAGTTTTGGCTCAATGTGGTTCCTACTGGTGCCTATTTCTTTGTTCGGATCTGCCTCATCTATACGTGGCGCCGGATTCAGCAAGCCGCGCCAGACGTCTTCACAATCCATATCACGACCGGTAGCCGCCTGATTACGTCGACCAGATACCGGATAACCGAAGGCATTTGCGTCCAGCTCGCCGAGACCAAAACGACTCAAATTTATCTGCGCAGTCTCGCCCTGATGTAGCTGCCAGGCAGCGTGATAGCTTTGTATGCCGCTGCGCAAACTGCCTGCCAGAGCTTCCATCTTCGCCGCAAAAGCCTCGTCGCTGATGTTAATGAACCGCGGCAACAGCGTGGCAACCAGAATACCGAGCAGCACAAGGACTGCCACCAGCTCCACCAGCGTAAATCCTCGCAATTTGACGGACAAAACTCTCATTCTTAGAGTATAGCCGCTACACGTTAACGCGGAATTTGTTACAAAATGTGTCAATTCTGAGGGTTTTCGCCAACTGACCAGAAAAATCTGCGGGCAGCCGGGCTGAAAGCTGCAGCACAGCGTTGTTTGACGGAGGGTAATAGCCACTTGACTAGGTGCTTTCGATTTGATAATTTCCCCGGCCATAGAGAGTATGACCAAATCAAAAAATCAAAGGGGATTTAAACTATGTCCAATAAGTTGTGGCGCAATCCTGCGCTGCTTGCAATCTTTGGCACTCTAGCGTTCTTCAATTTACAGGTTGCTTCTGCTGAAGAAGTGATCGAAGAAATTGTTGTAACGGGTTCATTTATCCGTGGTACACCTGAAGATGCGGCTCTGCCCGTCGACGTGACGACCCGCGATGACTTACAGGATGTTGGTAACCCAACCATAACGGAATTAGTCCGAAATCTGGGTATTTCCAACGGTAACCTCGGCGAAACCAACCAGTTCAACTCGTCTGGCGGACAGGGTAACGAGGGTGTGGCCACTATCAACCTGCGCGGCCTGGGTTCTGCCCGCTCCCTGGTGTTGATCAACGGAAGACGCCACGTTTCTGTCTCTACTATCGGTGTAGACATCAGTGCAGTACCCAGCATTGCCATTGAGCGTATGGAGGTTCTGAAAGATGGTGCCGCGGCACTGTACGGTTCAGACGCCATTGCTGGTGTTGTGAACTTCATTACCCGAGAAAACTTCGAAGGTTTTGAAATTCGCGGTTCTGGTCAGTTTCTGGATGAAAGTGACGGTGAGTTCAACGCCTCAGCGATCTGGGGTATGAATACAGGCCGTGCTAGATTCATGGCAGCAGCAGAATGGGACAGCCGCTCTAAAGTGGGTATTTCTGATCGTGACTGGGCTGTCCCGACACGCGCCGCAAATCCACAAGCTGGCTATTCGAGCATCGGCAATCCAGGGCGACTGTTCCCGATTTCACCATCGGCCGTCTCCGCAGCTAACCCTGCTGGATCTGTACCAACAATCGACCCTGAGTGTGAAACCCTGGGTGGTACTGCAAGCGGTTCAACGTGTTTCTTCCAGTTCACTCAATTCGATAATCTGATTGAAGAACAGGACACCTACAAGTTATTCACTGAATTCAACTACGACATCAGCGATGATGTTGAATTCCATATTGAAGCCTTGTACTCAAAAATGGATATGCTGGACTGGAACACCTCTCCTTCTTATCCACCGCAGTCTCTGTTTGGTCCTGACCGACTGGTACCCTTGGATAGCCCTGGTGTACTTGACCTGCAAGCGACCTATCCCGGCATTCTTCCGGCAGATACAGCTGCCCTTTATACCATCACACGTATGACGGGTTGGGGTGGCTTCTTAGGTGATGCCGCGGATGGCTCTCGCGAGACTGATACCTATCGCGTCTCCACCGGTTTGAATGGCGAATTGTTTGAAGGCGCCCTTGGCCTTGATGTCGCGGTGAGTTGGTCCAAGCGCGATCGTCGTGTAGTGACCCCTGATATGTTTGTCGAGCGCATGGCGCAGGCACTGAACGGCCTAGGCGGCCCTAGCTGTGATCCGGCAAATGACGCTCCGGGAACGGGTGGTTGTATGTATTACACACCTTTCTCCAATGCTGTAGCACGATCTGCGACCACTGGCGCAATCAACCCAAATGCCAATCCTGACCTGGTGGCTATGAACGAAGCACTGTTCCCATGGATGGTCGCCGACAACGGCACGGACAGTACCTTCGAACTACTGGTGTTTGATGCCACCTTTAATGGTGAAACGGGCATTCAACTCGGCGGTGGTAATGTGGGTTGGGCAGCGGGTATTCAAACCCGAAACGAGCAATATGACTTGCGTCCCGATGCCATCAATAATCTTGACATCAACCCCTGCCCTTTCCGTGAGCAATCGTCGTTAGATGCCGGCTACACACCTACACTGGGTTGTGATGCACCCATTGGTTTGTTTGCGTTCCTATCAGGCACCGCACCCGCCTCAACAGAACGAACCGTGTACGGCGGCTTCTTTGAGTTGGCGCTACCTTTCACAGATCGTCTGGATGCCCAGTTTGCCATGCGTTTTGAAGACTACGGCGGCGATGTAGGTTCTACGGTCGATCCTAAGCTGGCACTGCGCTTCCAGGCAACGGATTCGCTTGCTATCCGCGCTTCTGTATCCAGCACGTTCCGTGGCCCACCACAGCCTTTCCTTGAAGGTCGTGGTACGTCACTGCAGTTTGTCGGTCCAACCAACGCGTTCAAAGCCATTGATACGTTAGGTAACCCGGACCTGGATCCTGAAAAAGCAATCACCACTAACATTGGTTTCATCTTTGACCAAGGTAGTTTCTACGGATCGTTAGACTACTGGCGCTTCGACTTTGAAGACCCCTTCCAGATTGAAAGCTTCAATGCAATCCTGGGTGCTTATAGTGCCAATGGTTGTGGTACTGGCGGTGCCGGTGATGGTTCCGCTGACTGCAGTCAATTGGAGTCGCATATCATCTTCCAGGAAGGTGCTGACAGAAACGTGGCCAATTTGGCCCGTATGGAAGTGAACTGGATCAATGGCACCGACATCACCACCTCCGGTATCGACTGGATGGCTCAATACGATTTCGAAATGAACAACGGCACGCTAACTGTGGGTACACAAGGTACGTATACCCTTGAATACGACGTTGATGATTTCTTCGAAATTGGTGGTGTATTTCTAACGCCTGGCGGTGACTTTGCCGGTGAGTTGAATGACAACCGTAATTCACTGACCCCTGTGGTCGACCTGCAAGGCAACATCTTTGTCAAGTATGTCGCCGGTCGTCATCGTGCCCAGATTGTGGGTCGATACTGGGGTGAATACGAAGACGAGAGCGCGATTGCTTCGCTGCAGACTATCGACGACATGTTCACCGTCGACTTCACTTACAACTTGAGCCTGATGGAAGATCAGTTGAACCTCGATCTGTCTGTCTACAACTTGTTTGATGAAGATCCACCTCAAGCACAAACTGACTTGAACTACGATGCCTATACGCATAATGCGTTCGGCCGCATGATCAAAGTTGGTTTTACCTATACCTTCGGCGCTGACTACTAAGTTATCCGAAGTTGAACTGGAGTTTTCTCCAGATCAATAAAAGGCTGCCCCAGGGCAGCCTTTTTTGTGTCTGCGTCAGCAGCATTAGCGCTGCGCCAATGCCTTAAAAATAGCTTGTGTTCGCCCCTGAACGTTATCGATGCAGAGCCGCAAGCGGCATTTTGTGAGCGCCTAAAACATAAAACCCCCGCCAGGAGGCGGGGGTCTCGTCTGCAATCTTAACGGCCACATTAAGGGCCGCCGTTAATTTACATCAACCGCTCGATCAATTTGAAAAAGGCGTATAGACAATTCCAAGTTTGATCATGCGACCGAACGCGTTATGCGTCAGCGGATCGTAATTCAAATCCAGTGAAGCCGCGGGTGGGTCTTCATCAAGCAGGTTAATAGCAGAAAGTGACACACGCACCGAATCCGTAATCTCCACGTTGTAGTGCAGATCATGGGTAATGTGATCGTCAATTTTAGCCAGACTGCTATTGGCAGGCCCTTGGTCTTCATAGCTGTCCACGTAACGCATGAGGTAAGTCAGCGTATGGCGGCCGTTTATGTATTTTACGTTCAAATTGCCTTTCAACTCGGGTAGCGGAAAAAAGGAGTTAATGTCGTTCAAGCGTCCGGCATAATCCTGCTGAGGGGCTACGACAACACCTGCTGCAATTTGATCTTCAGCCTCCAGCTCTAACGTGTAGGTACCTTCTATACCTGCTGTTAGCTCTCCTTCACCTAACTCAAAAGTATATTGAGCCAGAAAGTCGATCCCGCTAGTGTTAATGGTGGCGCCATTTACCCAGTTACGGACAATACGCTCTACACCCGCCGCGGGAGTACCCAACGGAAATACTTGAGCGCGCAGACCCGCACAGGTCGACGTCGCAGCGCCAGTGCCGCCATCCTCACAACCGTTGGCTGCATAAGCAGAAATAATATTGCCGAAGCTTTCAACCTGCAGCGGATCGTCAAACTCGAAATTCCAATAGTCAATTGAACCATAGAACTTTCCCGTATCAACTATCACACCAAAGTTCAGCGCAGTGGCTGTCTCAGGTTCCAAGTTCGGGTTGCCTACGGTATCAATCGCTTTAAAAGCAGTTGCAGGGCCCACAAACGCAAGCGCTGTGCCGGTACCACCTAGAATCGCTTGTGGTGGTCCACGGAAAGTTGTGGAGGCAGAACCACGCAGTGCAATCCAATCATTGACTTGGAAACGCGCAGCAATCTTAGGATCGAGTGTTGAACCGACCTCACCACCGTAATCCTCGTAGCGAATGGCTGCTTGCATATCCAATCTGTCACTCCATGGCAGTGCCAGTTCAGCAAACAAACCATACACCGTACGCTTGGTGCGCTCTTCTCTTGTACCGGATAGAAAAGCAAACAGTCCCGTTTCGCTACCTGTACAGTCAAGGCTTGCCGTGTGACCGAGTGTAACTGAAAAAGGATCTACAAACGGGCAAGGGTTGACTGCAAGGTTTGCGACGTCGTTCAAGTCCAACTGATATCGTTCACGCCTGGACTGAAAACCCGCTGCCCAGCCGATGGTGCCGCCACCCAATTCAACATCGGTATCACCGCTGAAGATTGCATCGAACACAAAGAGCTCGTTTCGGGCTTCAGAATCCAGTCGATCCGTCAACCAGTCGAAAAGCTCTGGCGAATTGGCAACGGAGGGATCAAAGTCAGGATTGGCGCCAGTGAGAATCGAACGTTCTATCGCATTTGAAAAGGGATTGTAGTACACGCAAGGCCCAACACCCGGCACACCCGTTGCAGGATCACACCCAGCACCGCCCAGACCTTCAAACGCAAAGGCCATGCGCTCTACGTACATGTCGTTTGTTCCACTGAATCGCTCTCGGTTTGAATAGCTCAACGCAAACTCATAGTTGAGTTCGCCAAACGCTATGCCTTCAAGTGCCATATTCAGGCGCAGGGTTTCGGTTTCTCGTGGGCCAGTTTCGCTTTCGCCGTTAAGCCCACTGTAACCGACCATCCTGCTCCAGGAAACAGCGCCCTGATCAGCTGCGGGAATACCCGCGACATCGCTGAACAAACCAGGATTAGCTGCTTTCAAAGCAATCAAACCAGGATGCGTGGAAGGGACAAAGCGGTCCGGGCCCAACAGCGATTGCGGTGGGTAAGAAGGTGAAGTGAGTCTGTCGTCAACAATCACCTCAGAATACATCGCTTCAAAAGTCAGCGTTGTTGTATCGTCGATCTCAAAATCTAAAGTTGAGAAAAATTTATAGTAATCCGTGTCTTCGATAAGATTATCGAACAAAGTAAATTGAAACCGGCAAAACGGGGCCGCTAACGTGGCACCAGCCGTTTCACATCCAGGATCAGGCGTAAAGCCTCCGAGCAACGTGTTTGCTCCACCCGTCGGGTTAACCGCCGGCAGGAATGTGCCCGGGTTACCAATGCTGGAATAACCAGCCTGACTGTTTTGGGCGAATGTGGGAGCCGCCCAATCTCTATCACGGACGGTCAATTCACCTCTGTGATCGTACTCGCCGGAAAGGGTCATGTTCCAGCGTTCACCGCCAAAGCCCCAGATTGCAGCAATATTCTGATCACCGGCGTCGTCAATAAACTGATTGCTGGCGCGTAGTTCAAGACCTTCAAAGTCGTTGCGTGTAATAAAGTTCACAACGCCACCAATCGCATCCGAGCCATACAACGCTGCTGCGCCGTCTTTCAGGACCTCTACGCGACCAATCGCTGAAGCTGGGATTGCAGAAACATCTACCCCTAGTGTCGTAGTACTGACATGGCGTTTACCGTTGATAAGAACCAAAGTGCGCTCGGCACCCAAACCCCTGAGGTTAATCAGAGATACACCCGCACCGGCGGCCTGTCCCACGGAAGCAAACTGATTGGCTTCACCCGCGTTAGCTGATGTCACCCCAAGATTGCGAACCATTTCGATGATGCTTGGATTACCAACATCCTCTAATTCTGCGCGTGTCAGTACATCAACCGGCAGCGCCGCATCTTCGGGTGTACCTTTGATGAATGAACCCGTCACGATGACTTCTTCTATTTCCCCTTCTACTGCTTGCGCAATAGAGGAAATAAAGAACATAGGTAGTAGTAACACAGCGCCCAGGCGTAGCCGCCTGAACATGCGTTTGGTATGACTCATAGTTTTCTCTCCATTAGTTTATACCGGGTTCCCCAACCCTGTTCGATCTGAGACTAACGCCAACTATTAGGTGTTGCAAGCCTGAATCGACTGTGTAAAGGTATAAAAAAGGCCGCCCTGAGGCAGCTTTTTCCCTGCGCGCTAACTTTACCGGTTAGCGGCCAGCTGTTAGCGTACGCGGCCCCGCCTACAGGGTCGCGCGTAGAGTCACACCCCAGGTTTGGGGTTCGGTGTGATACTCCGTTAGTGACCCTTCCCGGATAACCGAGTTGAATGCACCGTTGGTGTAGTCTTCATCAAACACGTTCTTCGCCCATAACGACACGTCTTATCGATCGCCAGAGAAGCGATAACCTAATCGCAGGTTGGTCAACGTATACGAATCAGCGTACTTGTTCTGATCATTGTCGTTGCCGCTTGGGTTTTCATCTTTCCAGTTCACATCCAACTGACCGTAGAACAAATTGCCATCCGCCAGACGGTGAGACACCTGTCCAGAAACGTACACAGTCCACTCGGGTGTGCCGCCAACAATATGGGCGCCTACATCATCCTGCACCCCAGGGTGAAGGTATTGGCGCTGGTGTTCAGCCGGATTCCTGTGTTTCTGCCAGCACGCTGGCTGCTGATTGGCTGGGTGCTGTTCCAGTTTGTCGCGCTTACCGTCAGTACAGAAAGTGTCGCCTGGTGGGCGCATATTGGCGGGTTTGCTGCCGGTATGGCCCTGATTCCTCTCTTTAAGCAGAAGAATGTACCTTTGTTTGATAAAGGCACAGAGCATTAGCCTCGATTTACCTGAGCGTATAGGTATGATGCGCTCCCGCGAATATCCTCAACAGGTTTGCCCATGACCGCCTCTGATACCGACAGTTTTTCAACCTTACCTCTGGCACCGGAACAGCTGAAAAACCTGCAAGACCTGGGCTTCAGCAGGATGACCCCCATTCAGGCGCGCGCTTTGCCTGAGGTACTTGCGGGTAGAGACATCCTGGCGCAGGCCAAAACCGGCAGCGGTAAAACGGCAGCATTTGGGCTGGGCATTCTCCACCACATCGACACCAACTCCAAAGAGGTACAGGCGCTGGTGGTATGTCCTACGCGAGAACTTGCCGATCAGGTCAGTAAAGAGCTGCGACGCCTGGCCCAGGCGATGGCCAACGTCAAAGTGGTCTCCATATGTGGTGGCAAACCCTTTGGTCCGCAGAAAGCCACCCTCGCCTACGGCGCCCATATTGTTGTTGGCACACCCGGGCGACTGCTTGACCACCTGCAGAAACGCAGTCTCGATATCAGCCAGGTGAAAACTCTGGTGCTGGACGAAGCCGATCGGATGCTGGATATGGGGTTTACCGAAGACGTACAGACCATCATCAGCTTTGCCCCGGACAAGCGTCAGACCCTGTTGTTCTCAGCCACTTACCCGGATGAAATCCGGCGCATGAGTGCCACCGTCCAGCACAAACCGATGGACATCAAAATCGAAGAGCAGCATCAAAATGACGTCATTGAGCAGCTTTTTTATGAAGTGAAAAAACACGAGCGCAACGCTGGACTGCTGGCGTTGTTTGAGCACTACAATCTCAGCAGCGCATTAGTGTTCTGCCACACCAAGCGCGATTGTGATGAAGTGGCCGAGTTCCTGAATCAGCATCGTATTGCGGCTCTGGCCATCCATGGCGATCTGGAGCAGCGTGACCGCGACAAGGTGCTGGTGCAGTTTGCCAATCACAGCACCTCTGTCCTGGTCGCCACTGATGTTGCGGCACGAGGACTGGACATCAAGTCTCTGCCTACTGTCATCAATTACGAGTTACCCCATGATCCGGAGATTTATACCCATCGGATTGGTCGCACT